GAGGAATGGTGCCAAAGCTGTGAGGGACGGGCCCAAAGCTCTGAGGAATGGACCAAAGGCGTGAGGGACAGGCCCGAAGCCATGAGGGACGGTCCCAGAGCCGTGAGGGATGGGCCCAAAGCCGTTGAGGAATGGTGCCAAAGGTGTGAGGGACTGTCCCGAAGCTGTGCAAGATGGTCCCAAAGGTGTGAGGATTGGTCCCAAAGCCATGAGGGATGGTCCCAAAGCCGTGAGGGACAGGCCCAAAGCTGTGAGGAATGGACTAAAGATGTGCAGTACAGGGTAGGTTCATGCAGGGCTCAGGGATGGAATGAAACTGCTGATTCACCAAGCCATTGTATTTCTGCTCTGAGCTGCAATCTGGAGCACAAAATGAAAGAAGTGAGGATGTTTGGAATTCCAGGAGGATTTCCAAGCCTGAGGTGGATGATGTCTGAAATAATTAATCATTCATTTCAGGTGTAGAAAGCAAAGAGCATCAGCTCTCACTGTTAGTTCTTCTGGCAGACATTTAGCTTAGGAATACAGAGAAAAGGGAAAGTCCCCAGTGCTGCTCAGCAGGGATGAGCCTGGCTCACCTGTGAGCCTGAAACTGGCTTAATTCAGTGAGCAGGAGGGTCAGGATGTAGAACCAAACATGCACTGACATTTTTGCTTTAAAAAGTAGGAAGCAGTTTCTATGTATTTTTTTTACTAGCATTTATTTATTTTTATAAATAAATATATTATTATTATTATTATTATTATTATTATTATTATTATTATTATTATTATTATTATTATTATTATTATTCACATTATTATTGGTGTCTTATGGTATTATTATGGTATATAATATGGTAATTTTATAAGCAAATATGGTATTTTTATCTATTGCTGCGTGCAGCGAGGGTGCCCAAGTTGTTGATTTTTGTTTGCCATTATGATCAATCACTGCTTGCAGTAGCTGCAGCTCATTTTGTAGCTTGCACAATTTCCTTTTGTCTGCTTGCAGTGTCCTCTTTCCATTTCCTGCGTTTATGGTTTGTGAAAAATACTCATTTCAGGGTCCTTGACCAAACTGTGTCTGCAGTGCCCAAATGTGGAACAATGTTAGCACAACAGAGGGCTGGAATATCGGATATGGGTGCTCTGAGAAATTAATTCTCTTGGGTGAACTCAAAGTGCAGCAGATGGTGTGTAGACAAGCTTTTGGGAACTAATCACAAGGATTTTTCTTTGAAAGCTCAATTTCCTCATTAGGAAAAGGACGGAAGCACACTAATTGCTTGAATTGCCCTCTTTACCCTTCTTTAGTTTTTAAAAAAAAAAATAAAAATCCAAGAAAATAAAAAGTACAAAAATTATAAAAATCAAAAAATCTAATCCAATATAATAATCCAATGCAGAAGAAAAGGTATTTCCATCAGAGATGAATAAAATTTAATTGTGGTTAAAATTTAATTGTGGTAAAAAGAATTGGAAAATTTTACTTGGAGTGCTGTTGGATAGGTAGCAGTGGTGTATGTAGTGAAAAGTCCATCTGGGGTCAAGAAGCATTTAAATTCAAAGAGTATTTCATTTGAGTGAAATCCAAAAGAGTTTGAAGTTTTATTTCAGCAGGTTGGAAGCCCCAGGGGCCTGTGATTGCTTTGAGAAGTTCAGAACAAGGAAGGAAATTTGCTGTTTCATTAAGGGCTAATATAGAAACAAAGATGTACAACCTAGTCTTGGATGAATTCAGAGTAGAAATTAGAAGGAATAGTGGAAATGAGAGCAGTGAAAGGAGTTTAGGATGGACTTTGGCTATTTTATATATATAATAACATTTTATTTTATATTTATTTTATTTTTTTACATATAATAACATCATCTGCTGATATGTCTGTGGATTTTTTGTGGGCAAAAGAGTTGCTGTATCCCAGGTGGCACTCGGTGAGCGCAAAATGGCTTCAGCTCACCAAGTTCCCTCCTGTTCTTGAACCTGTGCAGGGAAGAAATACAAAATGAAGATCAATACAGTGCTCATTGCTAATTTTGTCATTTAGAGGCAGCATGAAGTGCTTCCTCAAGGGACCTGTTAAGGAATAGAATACATGCTGTGAAACTGCATCCTTGCTGCTCTTGGGAGGATTTGCCATCATGTGACACTAAAAATACCTCTGAATCCACAGCTGATGAGTTTAATTACTCATCAGCTCTTTACATTACAATTCATTACCCTGAGGTAATAAAGATACAATAAAGCATTTAGATGCCATTGTGCCATTGTTGCAGCGTGTTCAGCAGATTGTCTCTTAATCAGTGCTGCTCCTGTTTATTGCAGCATAATTAATTAATAGAAACAGGGGAGAGCTGTCCTGAGCAAACCAATTTTAACAGGTGCCTGAGCTGCTGCTTGTCTTTCATGTTCTGCTGCTTTTCTGTAAGGATGGCTACTCTAACTACAGAATTTAATTAATTATATTTGTTCTTACATTGTGAAGTCACACTGCGATTTTCACTTGTGATTATTTTATTATGCAATAAAAATATGCCCCTAAATCACAATAGTTCTGGCTATAGTCCATTCCCATAGTACAACTTTGACAGAAATCATATTTTAGATAGTAAAGCTCTGAAGAAATCATTATATTACAGGTAGTGAGTTCTATTTCAATATATTAGTTCTGGCTATAGTCCATTCCCTAGTACAACCCTTGATGCTAAAATTTTGATGGAAATTTTATTTTAGATAATAAATCTCTGAAGAAATAATTATATTTAATACATTATATTGTATTCAATATATTATATTCAGTATATTATATTGTATAATCATTAGCAGTGAGTTCTATTTCAATATATCAGTTCTGGCTATAGTCCATTCCGTAGTACAACCCTTGATGGTAAAATTTTGACAGAAATTGCAATATAGTAAAGGTCTGAAGAAAATATTACATTACAAGTAGGGAATTCTATTTTAACAAATCAGTTCTGGCTATAGTCCATTCTGTGCAACCCTTGATACTAAAATTTTGATGGAAATTATATTTTAGATAGTAAAGGTCAGAAGAAATCAACATTCTATTACAAGTAGTGAGTTCTTTTTCAATATAATAATTCTGACTATAGTCCATTCCATAGTACAACCCTTGATACTAAAATACTGACAGAAATTATATTTTAGGCAATAAAATCTCTGAAGAAATCAACATTAAGTATAACTCACAAGATAATATAACATTAAATATAACTCACATTAAATCACAGGAATCAGAATTTAATTTAACTCACTCAATAAATAGAACTCACAAGTAGTGAGTTCTATTTCAATATATTAGTTCTGGCTATAGTCCATTCCATAGTACAACCCTTGATGCTAAAATTTTGATGGAAATTATATTTTACATAGTAAAGCTCTGAAGAAATCAACATTCTATTACAAGTAGGGAATTCTTTTTCAAGATACTATACATAACTAAAAGACTTTGTTATTGGCCAAGTAGGTTTTTTGATTTTTGATATTGTGGGGTGTATTACAGCTGAAGTGAAGGTGCTTGCATAAATGGTAACCCCAAATCTTTCCTGATTACTAGGAATCTTTACTCAAAACCATAGATGACTGTCATCTAGAAATCATTATATTCTATGTATTATCTGTTATATAGATAATTATATTCTATTATATATTGTATAATATACATAATATATATCATTATATTCTACAAATATCTCATTTGTGATGGAATGATTAAGAATTTTTTTCCCTTTCTGAAAAACAAATTTAAAAAGTCAAATGCAGACCAGCAGTATCTGATGGCCAGAGATTTAATAGTGTTTAAATAATTTTAGAAAACAACTTAGACTAACTTTCTTGGTTGTGCATGCAAGAGAAAAATATTTTAAATTATAATATTGACATAACATATAATATTAACATTTATTAATTACTGTATAATTATTTTTAAATTCTTTTCTGGCAGGAGATCACTTTTAAGTTGTTAACCTCTTTGGCATTAAAAAAATCTTCATTTTTTTAGGGCAGTGCTCTGGCAGTTGCTCTCAGCAAGCATGTGCTTACCAATTAAAGACTGACCTGGTCTGCCCTTCTTGCTGCTATTATCTAGCATTTATTCTGCCACTTTCAGCCCTGCAATCAATAGCTGTGATCACAGCCAAGGATGTTACATGGCTGTATGACCCAGATATACAAGTGTAGGACAAAAAAAACCCAAACTCTGACACTTTGGAGAGCCTCGCATTTGGATTTATTTAGCTCTAAGAAGAAATGTTTTCTGGAACAAGTGAGAGGCTTTGGAACTTCCCTGTGCAGTCATGGGACATTTGTTCTGATCTAGGCTTCCAGCACGTGTAAGGGGTTTCAATAAAACACAGGGGATGGGTCCTCATTGCAGCAGAGCAGAGAAATCCCTTATAAATCTATTTTTTTGGGTTTTTGCAGCATGGCTCAAGGTAGGACTGATGGATGGTATGGAAAATAGAGAACCCGGAATTGGGCTGATCCTTACATGTCCTGTTGTGTTTGAAAGAGAAAGGGGATGCTGGCCAGTACAGATGGAATAAATACTGGAAGTACAGAATTTATTATTAAAAAACATTATTATACAGAATTTATAATTAAAAAATATGCATTTATCTCTCAGTGATCCTAGCCTGTTTCACTTGTGTGTGGTTTTTGCAGCACTGGATGGTATGGAAAATGGAGAACTCAGAATTGAGCTGATCCTTCTGTGCCCTGTGGTGTTTGAAGGAGAAAGGAGATGCTGGCCAGTATAGATGTACTAAATACTGAAGATAGAGAATTTATTATAAAAAAATTATTCTACAGAATTTATTTTAAAACTGAGATTTAAATTTTTTATACATTTAAAATTTTTAATTTAATATTTTTTTCAATTTAATTTTTCATAAGTTTAGTATAAAACTAGGATCACTCAGAGATAAATTATTCGTTTATCTCTCAGTGATCTTCGCCTGTGTCACTTGTGTGTGGTTTTTGCAGCATGGCTCAGGGCAGGACTGATGGATGGTATGGAAAATAGAGAACCCAGAACTGAGCTGATCCTTATGTGCCCTGTGGTGTTTGAAGGAGAAAGGCAATGCTGACCACTACAGATGTACTGGAGGTACAGAATTTATTATAAATAAATAATAAATAATGTATTGTAAATACTGGAGATACAGAATTTATTATAAAGCATTAATTTATCTGCTAGTGATCCTAGCCTGTTTGACTTGTGCGCTGCAAGTTGTGCTGTTCCATTAAGCATTTTCATTGTAAACAAGAGATGAGTGGTTGTGTTTGGGTTCCATAAAGGGTGGTGACAGGAGCCTGTGCCTTGCCTGTCCCTGTGATGTACTCATGCTGAAAGGCCATTATTTTGCATTATTCTGAGGCCTGAAGTGCTGCAGCACGTGGAGAAAATCTGGAATATACTTGCTGTGGCTGACACAGAAGTGCTATTTTGGGACATTGCTATGGTTTAATTTATGTAATTTAATTTATTTAATGAAGTCAATATGCTGGCTTATCTCAGCTGGATCTCACAGAGCCCAGCTGGGCACGGGAAGTGGCAGAGCTTTGTTCCTGGGGTCACACAAACTGAAGGGGATCTTTCTCTCCAACTGCCCACCCTTCAGATGAGTCAAATTCACTCATTTGGGTATTTCTGCAGGACATTGGACATTTGCCATTAAGCATTTACTGTCTTTTGCATAAATGACAAGCTCTTATCCCCAGGATAATTCTGCTGTGGTCCAGCTCTCAATTGCAAAGGGTTTAAAGTGTGGGGAGCCTTCCATTTCTAGTTCAATATGCTCCAGACTTTGCTGTTTCAGTTGTTTCCCCTACTTCTTGCCTAAACAGTATTATATGTGCTAAAGTAAATTTATGCAGTCACTGTAGGAAAAAAGTTTTGCTTTTGGATTTCCTATACTGACCACTAATATTATCAGAAATAGGATTAAGGCCTGGGAGAACTCTTGAATTTGTTCCATGTGGTTTCAACTACATGCAGAACTGAGTACAAATGACATAATTTCTTCCTCAAGGGCAGTGTCTCAAGTGAATTATTTCCATTTGGAAGTGAGATATTGCACAAACGGTGCCTCCAGAATAGGTTTTTGGCACAAAGGTCAGGATAAATGCAATGCTTTCAAATGATCAGTGAACTCAGTAGATCATTAGTTTTGTTTTCTACAAGGGTTAGATTGTAAGGCCTAACACATCAATTGGCAAATAATAAACATGGTTACATTGAATTATTCTGTCCTCATCAAGTGAAACAACAGTACCTAATAAGGCTCTTTGATCCCAAATAAATCCATAGACCCTCCATCCTAGTGAGAGGGCTACCTGGAGAAAGAAGTGGAAACCACACTGTGCATTTAAACTAATAAACTCTAATTTGGGGAGGTAATTACCCTGCTTCTGTTAGCTTTTTTTTTTTTCCCAAGAAATGTCTTTTATCCATGTAAAATATTTTTTCCCAATTAAAATACATTACTGACTTTGCTATTTTTTTTTTTTTGTGGTCTCTCAAAGGCCTTCGGCACCCAAAATGTGTATCATGCACTCAGGATGTTGAGACATGGGGACAAAGCTGGCTACAACAAATATTTCAGGTTTTACTGTCTTTTATGATTAGAAGATGAAACTTATAAAGTTACTGATATCAGAGGTTACCTGTGGCTAATACAGTTACATTCCTTTGTATCTGAGTGAGTTTTGGATGTGCAGGAAGGTACCCAGAGGGTTCATGCAGGAAAATAAATGATTCTGGGACAGGGGAGAGAGCCCTGCTCTTGAAAATAAAGGGGGGCTATATCTATTCATCTGCTATATCTGTTCATGTGAGGTTGATGTGCAAAAGTGAAGGTGAAAAATATTCTTTTTTTCTTCTTTGGTTTGAACTTTCTGCTGTAGGAATAAAATCCCCCCAAACAACTCAAAGAATAAGCCCAGTGTTCCTATTTGCACTATTTTTATTGTAGAAATTCTTGATTTATTGATATCTTGAAATTAGTATCAAGAGGATGGTGTTTGAGTACAGCTGCTCCTTTGAGCAAGAGCAGGCACATTATTGAAGAATTAAATGGAGAAGGAGCTCCTGAGCAAAAGAGCAAATGAAAGCTAAATGCTGAAATCTGTATGAAACTGGTACAAATTAACTGATGTGAGATTGTACAATCGCACTTTGATTTTCCTTGCTGTGGTGCTACAGTGTGAATGCTTCAGGCCATGTGTATAATGCAAAGCCTCTTCTGTAAATTCATTGTAGGTGACAGTGTTTTTAGCAAGTGATGGTTCTAAATATAGCCTGAAGAGTGAAAAGGTACTGCCCTTAGGATGGGCTGATCACATTGCAACAGCTTTTTTAGCTCTTCTCTATTTCCATTTCAAATACCAAAACCAAAATTAAAAAAAAAACCCAAAAAAACAACAAACCCCAGCAACAAAACCACAAATAAAAGCAAGGTTCTTTCTTTGAGGGCTTCTCTTGTAAATAACGATGAAGCCTTATGTGAGGGTGACATAGTTTTATTTCAGGTTATTTTGGCTCAGTGTAGTGTTCATCTTCAGCAGTGTGATTGGATGGGAAGTGCACAGTTCACTGAAATGCTGTGCTGGTGGTGAAATGCATTTATTTACAGTGCCCTGTGTTTGCTGTGTGCCTGCTGAAGGGAGGAGGAGCACACAAAAATGAATGTACTGCACTTGAAATGGGTTGGCTCTGAGGGGATAGTGTACAGAAAGGATGTTTCTAACCATGCAATTCACCCCACAAAAGTGAGCAGAACACCACTCACAGCTTGTTAGAGAATTTTCAAGACATGGTGTGCTGTTATCTTAATTTAGAAAGAGGTTTTAGAAAAGACCATTTTCTTAAGAGTTGGACTTAATAGTCCTTTCCAATGCAGAATATTCTTTGAAAAAATAACAAGAAAACTAATGTGTTTAGTGAAAAAATAGCTAGATTTTTCTTGTAACAATTTTTAATTCTAAAAATCAACATTTAATATGATATAAGTGGAAAAATAGAAGAGACCTCGTGTTATTTGCAAAGACACATGAATATCTTTTCACATTGTTTTATTTTCATTGTAAAAATTTTATTTTCATTACAGAAGTGCCATCAATTTTATAAAGTTCCAAGCGAGGAGGGAGGAGCTGGGCCATGCAAAACCAGCCTCAGGTGAACCTGTGGCAAGCACAGTAAATCTCAAAGTTCATCTTGCCTACCTTAGAGGCTGCCACTGCTTGTCATATTCAAAGTGGCATCCTGTTTTCCAAGTAGCACCCCATGGTTTGCAGTTTAAGCCTTTGCTGGCTTCCAAATGCTTTGTTCTGCCAGGAAGGATGTGCCATGATTAGTAAATAAATGAGTAAACTTATTAGTAAATAAATCAGTAAATCTCCCTGGACAGGCAGATTGTGGTGAGGTCTCTGTTCTGCAGTGACTGCACTGCAGACAGTGCAAATTTGAGGATCACATCTAGTTCATTAAATAAGGAAAAGCTGAATGAAATCCCAACCCCACACAGATAAGATGGTGTCACTGTCGTATCTTCTGAAAAATCCCTTTGCCAGGATTTCTTCTCCTGGGAAGCTGAGATGCCTCAGAGAAAAAGGGAAACAAAAATTATTTGGTTGCTTCTCCTCTTTTTTGTTGCTTTGGCATGTGGTTGGAGATTTTTTATCCAACAGGTGGTTGTTTCACTGGTTTCATGTGAATTGTTTTGACTTAATGACCAGTCACAGCCAGCTGTGTTGGGACACTGGAAGAAGTTACAAGTTTTCATTATCATTCTTTGTGACCTTCTCTCTGTATCCTTTCTCTATTTTTTAGCATAGTTTTAGTATAGCATTCTTTTATATAATAATATAATATATCATATAATAAAATCATAAATTGGCTTTCTAAGAATATGGAGTAAGATTCTCAATTCCTCCTTCATCCTGGGGACCAAGCAAATACCTCAAGATGGAGGTTTGGATTGAAAGGTTTGTGACCCATCAATGCATGTCTGAATCCCACTTGTAGTAGTGTTCTAGTAGAATATGTGTTAAATATTAGAATATATGTTAAATATTGCCATTTGAGCTTGGCTCTCCAGTGGGGTTAATGAACTGAAGGACTTTCCTGAGCTTAGCACTTTCTGTTTTTATGGCAGGTGTACCCTGTGACTCCATGTGTTAATGTCACTGTCATATTTTCTGAAAAATCCCTTTGCCAGGATTTCTTATTCTGGGAAGCTGAGAAGCCTCAGAGAAAAAGGAAAACATTATTATCTCTTTTGCTTCTCCTGTGTTTCGCTGCTTTGGAATGTGATTGGAGATGGTTTATCCAACATGTGAATTGTTTTTACTTATTGAACAATCAGGGTCCAGCTGTGTCAGGACTTTAGAGAGGGTAACGAGTTTTTAATTAGTATCTTGTTAAGCCTTCTGTAAGTATCCTTTCTGTATTCTTTAGTATAATTTTAGCATAACATTCTTTAATATGATATTATATCATACAATAATAAATTAGCCTTCTAAGAACATAGTCAGATTCATAATTTCCTTCCTGCCACGGAGGACCCTGAAAAAACCATAAGTTCATATGGAGGCTTGAGGTTTTCCAGGTTTGGGAGATGGACCTGGATTTGTGTTTAATCTCTAAGGGGTGTGTGTGCTGTGGTTTGCAACTTGATCAGCTGCATTTCAAAACTATTTCCTATTTAATTGTAGTACAGCATTTAACTCTAATCTATGTAAGAAGACAGATCTCTAATGAAAGACAAAAATCCCCTTTTGTGAGTTCACGAGTGTGAACATGTGATGCAATCTGGCCTCCCCATGCCTGCCTGCTAATTAAGTGTCCGTGGAGCTCAGAGGTGATGCCAGAAATAGCAGTAATGATAAACTATTTCGAGTCCATCACGCTAGGAGCAGGGATTTGGGAGCTGTCACAGTACATTTTTTATTAAGCACCCAGATTAGCCCAGTGAACTGTGAGAGAGGCTGTGAGGAAGGAGAGGCTCTGTCGCTCCCTGGCTCAGCTGGAATGTGGCCATTATTCTCTCAAAGAGCCCACAGAGGTGTTTGTGGGCTTTGCAGACTCATTTCCACATCCATTTGAGG